GGTCAAATGGGGGTCGAAAAATGATGTTTTTTAAGCAAAAAGCTCCGTCTTCCCTGAACTCCTCTTACATTTTACTCAGTAGCCTAACTAGCTTTTGGGAGATGGTTGGTGGGGTCATGTAGATGTGCAGTAAGGTTTTGGAATTTCAATTTTGCCCCGGGGGGTCAAATGGGGGTCGAAAAATGACGTTTTTTGTCCAAAAAGCCCCGTCTTCCCTGAACTCCTTCTACATTTTACTCAGTAGCCTAACCAGCTGTTGGGAGATGGTTGGTGGGGTCATGTAGATGTGCAGTAAGCTTTTGGAATTTTGATTTTGCCCCCGGGGGTCAAATGAGGGTCGAAAAATGACGTTTTTTAAGCAAAAAGCTCCGTCTTCCCTGAACTCCTCTTACATTTTACTCAGTAGCCTAACCAGCTTTTGGGAGATGGTTGGTGGGGTCATGTAGATGTGCAGTAAGGTTTTGGAATTTCGATTTTGCCCCGGGGGGTCAAATGGGGGTCGAAAAATGACGTTTTTGTCCAAAAAGCCCCGTCTTCCCTGAACTCCTTCTACATTTTACTCAGTAGCCTAACCAGCTTTTGGGAGATGGTTGGTGGGGTCATGTAGATGTGCAGTAAGCTTTCGGAATTTTGATTTTGCCCCAGGGGGTCAAATGGGGGTCGAAAAATGACGTTTTTTAAGCAAAAAGCTCTGTCTTCCCTGAACTCCTTTTACATTTTACTCAGTAGCCTAATCATCTTTTGGGAGATGGTTGGTGGGGTCATGTAGATGTGCAGTAAGGTTTTGGAATTTCGATTTTGCCCCGGGGGGTCAAATGGGGGTCGAAAAATGACGTTTTTTGTCCAAAAAGCCCCGTCTTCCCTGAACTCCTTCTACATTTTACTCAGTAGCCTAACCAGCTTTTGGGAGATGGTTGGTGGGGTCATGTAGATGTGCAGTAAGGTTTTGGAATTTTGATTTTGCCCTGGGGGATCAAATGGGGGTTGAAAAATGACGTTTTTTATGCAAAAAGCCCAGTCTTCCCTGAAAGCAATTAATTTTTTTAAGGAAATTAGGTCAAACTTCAAGATCATGGGTAATGAAAATCATAGTGTATGTAGAATGGTATTGTCCCATTTAATACTAATACACATGTTTAATATAATAGTCCTATCTCTTCTCATTCAAAATATATGACCATGATGACCAAGGTTAAATTTATTGTGACAGATGGGCAGATTGACAAAGAAATGAGATTTAATGTACCCTACCTTTAGCAAAAATGGGGACAATAAATGTCTTTGCTGTTCTTGAGAAGAAGATTTATGTTGGAACAAGATGTGTTTGTGAAACACTACGCGCCCGGCGGCAACAAAGTTAAAAAAATCTTCTTTTAGCATATTGATCACAGTCAAGGTCACAAGGTCATTGACCATGGTGTCATTCGAAAGAACTTAATCAGTGGAGTATGCGTACTAAATATGAAGTCCCTATCTCCTATGGTTCAAAAACTGTGGCAAAATTGTAAAGAGCTATTTTTAGCATATCCGTCACAGTCAAGGTCACAAGATCATTGACCTTGCCGTCGTTTGAAAGGACTTTATCGGTGGAGTATGCATACCAAATATGAAGTCCCTATCTCCTATGGTTCAAAAGTTATGACAAACAGTGGAAAAAGCTATTTTTAGAATATGGGTCACAGTCAAGGTCACAAAGTCATTGACCATGGTGTCATTCGAAAGAACTTAATCAGTGGAGTATGCGTACTAAATATGAAGTCCCTATCTCCTATGGTTCAAAAACTGTGGCAAAAAGTGTAAAGAGCTATTTTTAGCATATCCGTCACAGTCAAGGTCACAAGATCATTGACCTTGCCGTCGTTTGAAAGGACTTTATCAGTGGAGTATGCATACCAAATATGAAGTCCCTATCTCCTATGGTTCAAAAGTTATGACAAACAGTGGAAAAAGCTATTTTTAGCATATAGGTCACAGTCAAGGTCACAAGATCATTGACCTTGATGTCATTTGAAAGTACTCTATTAGTGGAGTATGCATACCAAATATGAAGTCCCTATCTCCTATGGTTCAAAAGTTATGACAAACAGTGGAAAAAGCTATTTTTAGCATATAAGTCTTAGTCAAGGTCACAAGGTCATTGACCTTGAAGTCATTTGAAAGGACTTTATTAGTGGAGTATGCTTACCAAATATGAAGTCTCTATCCCTTATTGTTCAAAAGTTATGGCCAAGGTTAAAGTTGACAAACAGACAAACAGATAAACAGACAAACAGACAAACAGACAGGACAAAAACAATATACGCCCGGGATCTATCGATCCGGGCGCTTAAAAAGTACCCTGCATATTTAAATGTAAATTGGTTGAAATTAGCCCAGTGGTTCTTAAGAAGTTAATGTGAAAAGTTTGCAGATAAACAGATGGACAACAGAAATCAGTACATTTCAGAAAACAGTATGCTTATAAATAGTTAATCAAGGTGCTTTGGGTAGCAAAATAAAGCTAAACTGGTATATCTAATTCATCCGCAGAGCTTAGTATATTTCAATATGCACAACCTTTTCAACTCTTATAATTATTTTTTAAAATTTATATCACCATGTCTCATTCATTAGGGAGAACTAGAGATATGACCAGATGTATATCTGTTAAATATAAAATATGTACATGTATTCTGTGTTTTTTTTTTAGTAATTTGTTTGTTTGTTGTGACAGCAACTGTTATGGCAGCTTTTGGCAAAGGTTGAAGTTTCTCAAATGTAAGTCAAACTCCAAGGTCAAGGTCAAAGGGTCTAAATTGTTGGTATCAAAGGGAAAGTCTTGTCACAAGGAATACACATGTGAAAAAAGGGAGAAATCCCTAGAACTTCCTCACCTGTTCAAAAGTTATTGCCAAGGTTAAAGTTAAATTGGATTCAACTCTAAGGTCTAGGTCAAAAATAATTATACCTGTTGAAAGTTCACAATGATTACACATGTAAGAGCATGAAAGTCCTAGCACCACCTGTTCAAAACTTACGCCAAGTTCAAGGTATTTTTCTTGTAAAATTGGGTCAAACTCCAAGGTCAAGAGATCAAGAGGTCAAAATTGGTGGTACCCATTAAAAGGTTTTGCCAAAAGAAATTTACCTATGAAAAATTGAAGCCATGTGTATAGCTCAATCCACTTAAAAAATATGGGCAAGGTTAAAGTTTCCGTGGACAGACAAAAATACATAAACATAGGAAACAAAATATGTATAAATAGTCAAATGAAAAAATTTTCTACTATTATGGAGTCATAAGATCAATTGTCATTTCAGGTACAGGGAGTCAGTGGCTAGGGAGATCAGAACCCCCCCCCCCCCTGGAATTAGCAGTTATTTAAATAAGACTATATATGTACTGTAGAGAATAAAAATGACTTTGGACATCCTCCCCCTTAGAAAACAGGGACTCCACCATCATTGTTTTTATTATTTTTTATTTCCATCTCGGGAAATCTTGGGCTGATTTTTTTGACTGAGGTGTGACACCCCCCCCCTTTCTGAAAAAAAAATCGGGATCTGCGTCTGTTATATACTGAATGTCCGCAACGGGAGATAACTTGACAATGTGAAATTTGTCGACTGTGGCATGCGATGATCTTTGACCATGTTGACCCTTTTTGAACTTCAACCTAACCATTTGCATTTATTTATTTTTATGCAATCTATACTAAATCTTGTACTTACCGAATGTCATAGGTCGTGACAACGAATTCATGAAATATAATCAATCCATATAATCCAATTAAAACACAAATGATTTTAACTGACCACACTGCATCGTCAGCATACATGTGCTAAATAATCTCATTCGACAAACCTTTGCTGATTCCGTTGCCAGTATGAATTGGCCGAGGTGTGCCGAGAGGTGATATCTATAAATATGATAATGGGTGACGCAAACCCAATGTGAATGTAGAAAATAAAACTGTTTAGTACAAGAACAAATTTCAAACTATCATAATTAACTAAACTATGTTTTTAAAAAAAATGTGAGAGTGAGAGAGAGAGTGTGTGTGTGTGGGGGGGGGGGGGGGGGGGGGGGGGGATAGGCATTGACAAATTAATAGGGTTGTATTTTCAATGGGTTTTTTTCCCGACCAAATACTAAAATCAGTTTGCACATTTTGATAAATTCATCAAAAACGCTTTGTACTAAAATAATATTTTATGTCGTTGAGAAAGTAAATTTAAAAAGTTCCAAATAATGGGAAAATTATTTATTTGAATAAGTAATTTACTTCAATCATTAATTAAATTCTGTTATTTCAGACTTGTTATGAATTAAGTATTTTAAAATACATATGTGAGGCTCAGAGTTGATATGGTCATCTGAAAATTTTATGTTCAATTTGACGAATACATGTACGGTGATAATTATAGAATTATTTTGACTTCTTCCTTGGAAAGTCCAATATGAATGAGTGTATATTTAGAGGCAAACACCATAGTGCGGGTATTACTGTCTCCTGACAGCATCTAGTTGAAA